GAGAGGTAGCTGAAGGCAGGTAGGGTATGGCTGGAAGAGGTGGGTCATCGGGGGCGTGCCTTTGGGGTATATATTTTGTATCTGGCAGTTGCATTTTCTCTCTGCTTCCTTGATCATCATGTGAGCTGCCTCCCTCTGCCAAACTCTTCTACCCTGTTGTTCTGCATCACCTTGTGCCTTGAGGAATGGAGCCAGCTATCTACGGATAATTGAATCCATGAGCCCCCAAATAAACTTTTCCTCCTCTAAAGTTGTTCTTGTTGAGTCCTTAAGCCACAGCAGCAAAAAAGCTGACTAAAACACCCCGTCATTTAGGAGCTGTGTGACATTGGGCACAAAAGATAATCTTAGTTTAATTTGTGCAAAATGAGTCTAATAACGCTACTTATGTTACAAGGTTGTTGTGAGGGTTAAGTGAAATTACTCACCTCAATAAATGTGTGTTCCTCTTATAATTTGCTTGTTTACTTGTCAAACACACATTAAATGCCTGCATAATGTCAGGCACTGTGCAGGATGCTGGGGGAAATGATGATGAATAAGTACAGACACAATTCCTGTCCTCATGTAAACTGGTGTCTAATTGTAGATATTGCTGTTAATAACACTGTCTTAGTCCAGCTGCTATGACAGACTATCATGTACTGGGTAATTTATAATGAATAGGAATATGTTGGCTCATTGTTCTAAGGCTGGGGTGTCCAAGATTGAGGCTGGCATCTGGTGAAGACATTCTTGATGCATCATTCCAAGGTGGAAGGGCAAAGAGAGAACAAGAGGGACACAAATGTATCCTTTTACAAGGAACCCACTCCTGTGATAACAAACCCATTCCTGAGATAATGCATAAGCCATTCATGAGGGCAGTGTCCCCATGATTCAATACCTCCCTTTAGGTCCTACCACGCAATACCATCACATTGTGGATAAAACTTCCACCATATGAACTCTGGGGGACATAGTCAAACCATAGAAAGCACACATATCTTTACTTACTTGATCAAGGCCGTGGATAAGGGAGTGGTAGGTGACGTAGTTGGAAAGACATGAGATTTTAAGTAATCATGTGTATCTATTTGAGAACAGCATTTCCAGCACCTTCAACATTTATCATTTCTTTGTGCTGAACCTTTGAACTCCTCTCTTGTAGTTGTTTGTAGAATATATGACAAATTATTGTAAACTATAGGCACCCTACTGTGCAGTACAAAACTTGAACTTACTACTCCTAGGCCACCAGTATGTTGAACTTCCTGTCTGTTGTCAATGGTTTTCTAACATTGAGCTGCCCCCTGCTGGAAATTGAGAGTTCATAACAGCATAGAATCTTGCTGTTGGTGCAATTCCTGTCAACTTACTTGCATGTTTCAATGATCCAGGAAGATACTTTATTTATTTATTTATTTAKTTAGTTATTGGTGCTGGATATTGAACCCGGGGCCTTGTATAAGCTAAGCAAGTGTTCTATCACTGAGCTAGCCTCAGCCGGCAACACTTAACTTTTCAAAAACAGAAACTTTGTTTTTAGAATATAGGAAGGCCAGGAAAGATTAAACATAAAAGGTTAAYATTTTAAGTAATAGTGCTTAAGTGGGATTGATAAAAACTTCAAAGCACCTGGTGATTCTCTCAGGATAGCTCTCCACCTTTCCTTCTTTCTCTTTTTAGTTAATTCTAGTAAAGATTTCAATGAGTCCAAAGAAAGAAGTCTTGATCTTGGAGGTTGTAGGCCAGGTAGGCTACACAGATGACCAAAGTGAACAAGAAAACCCTTAAATACTGGTTATTTAGTTCCCATGGGGATGTGAACCAAGTGTTAGCAAAACTATACATTTTTAAAGAAAAAATGAAAAGTCAAATTAATACATAAAATGTTTACAAATTTGCATAAATAAATAACTGCAAGGCCACATGCTTTTCATGGTAGATCTTCAGTTTTCTAATAAGTAACTATTAGTAATTACTACTAATTAAATTTTCACTGGTTTATGATGAAAATTTTAAAAAGAGACAGTCAAGGGTGATGCTACATGTATGCGGCCCAACCATCTCAGAAAGCTGAAGTGGGAYGATCACTTGAGTTCACAAGTTTAAGACCAGCCTTGGCAACACAGTGAGACTCTGTGTCAACAATAACAAAAGGACAATGAAATGAATTTTTCTGTACAGATGAATTTACTCAATATAAAGGACTGACTCTTCCCATAATTATATTATCTCTGTGTATTTTGTTAAAACATCCTTGTTCTATTTATTCATATTTTTTCTGCCATGCTGGGCATTGAAGCTAGTGCCTTGTTCATTCTAGGCAAGCACTTTACCACTGAGTTATATACCCAGCCCTATTTTTATGTTTATATTAAAATATTTTTGTGAAATGATATTATTAGTTCTAAGGCATTTAATTGGCAAAATTAAGAATTGATAACTTTACATCATCTTGTTGCATTTAGTTTTGTTTTATTTGTTATTAAAATCCAAATGACTGGGCATTGCTATCAAGACCATAAAAATTCATTGGAAGTTTTGAAGCACTATTTGTGTCAGGATAACCTTAGACTCCAGCAGTGATATGGGAGATGTATGGATTGTGATTCAAGTCTCTGAAGTCATAGAATGTGAAAAATCAAAGGAATTTTTGCCTTGTTATTTTATTTCATGTCCATGGGCACTAAGATACACTGAAGGAAAAGAATTACCCATGGTTACTCAGGGAGTTAGTAACAGAGCCACAATTACATTCTGTTTTCCCAGTACCAATACACAATCTTTCAATTGTTCCAGTCCTGTCTCTGTCAGTCAGACAGTACTGAGACACTGAAGTGCCCACCTGAATGTTATTTGAAGACAAGCCTTCAAAAGGGAAGACTTTGGGTAATAGAACAGGCGATTTGTATAATTGAGAATTTCTGTAAAAATTTTCAACCCATGTGTCATACTTATTGCATTTTGGGGTACAGAAGTTTGTCTCATAATTGTTATGAGTTGATTTTCCTTTATTTTTTTTTCTTTCATGAGTAGGCCTTTAGGTTTAAAAGTTTATTATAGGGCTGGGGGTGTCACTCAGTGGTAGCATGCTTGCTTGCCTAGCATTTGTGAGGCCCTGGTTTCTACCCCAAGCACTGTTTAAAAAAAAAAAATATATATATATATATACACACACACACACACACACACACACACACACACACACATACACACACATATATGCATATGTATGTGTTTATATAAAGTAATGTTTTATATAATATACATATAAATTATTTTATATAATAYACATAGAAAGTAATAYATAAATATAATAATATATAAAGTAAAATGTAAAGTAATAAGTATTTTGGCTATGTTAGAAACTGAGTTGCATATGTCAAGAGCATTGTAATGTTTTGAACAATAATTWAAAAAAAAGAAACTGAGTTGCTTGGCAAATAGATCCATTCAAGTTTGTCACTGATCTCTTTTAACTTCTGCAGGTCTTATATACTCAACTATGCTTCAAAATTGTTTTCTTAGGGATTGGAGGTGTAGCTCAGTGGTAGAGCACATACTAGGTACACATGAGTCTCTGGGTTCATTATCCAGCAACATATACACATATATATCTATTTGGCAAAAATATAAAATAAAGCAAAAGCCCCAAACCCTCAAAACTACATTATTTACTGTGTGTGTCTGTATGCATCCTGTTTTCCTGCTGGATGAATTTATTCCACATGTAAGAATAACATGGTTTATACTATTTTTTCCCTAGCACCTTTAACTAGTATACAACAGAGGTTAGTAAAACAAAGACTGACTTGATAAGCAGTAATTCTTTCCATAAATTGAGCATTATCCCTGTGACAGATACATTGTATAAAAACAAAAAACTGATTTTATTGTCTTTTTTTTTAAACAAAAGAATTTCTCCATAAAACCAGTCTAAAAATATTTTCTTTGCCTACTGCATGCCCCATGCTGTACTGAATACTGGGGATACCGTGGTGAATGGAATGGTCATAGCTCTGGTCCCCACAGGTTAACAGCTTAAGTTTCAATGCAGTGCTGCCTCAAAACTCTCTGATGTATGTTATTCTAAAACATAGGATTGTAAATAAGTGAGAGAAGAGGTACAGCTATGTCAGAAGTTGTGAAGGAGGAATAGCAGGTGCTAGGAGTCAGGAAAGACTTCTTGGATACAATGAAAATTTTATGACTTTAGGGTTGAGTTAGGGGTTAGGTGAAGGCTGGGGGAGTGTTTGAGGCAGGGAGAGCAGGCAGGGAAGAGGCCCACAGGGAAGGGGTGAAACATGGGTTATTTGAAGAACAGAAGTCCGGAAGGGCTGGAGCAGAGGGGAAAGCTGGCAGGATGAGGCTAGCTAAGGACTTGCTGCCTGTAGTGCTGTGCAGAGCTCTTCATCATGCTTTTCAGGAACAGCCTCTAATCAGTTGTAGCTAACCGTAGAAACTGGTATTTTTATATTATTTAATATTATTTTTATATTATTTTATATTATTTGTCTTTTTAACTGCTCTGTTTTCCTTGAGTTCAGAGCCAGGTGATTCTTTTTTTTAATATTTAAATTTATATGTTTTATTTATTTTTTTCTTGTTCTTTTTCTTAGTGCTCCCTCAACTCCTTCCTCCACTGTGCCTACTTCAGCTTTAGCAAGATCCTCCTTTTCTGCAGGACCATTTACTCACGACCACCATATACAATTTCCTTACCGAGTTGGATTTGCAGTATTTCATTTATTTATTCAGTCCTTTGTTCCCTGTTTGTCTAGCTCCATGTGACAAGCAATTTAGGAAAATGGAAGAGGTTCCTTGTGGGAGCTTATGCATGTTCTAACTTAAAAAGAGGCTCAGCTGAGACAAACAAACAAACAAAAAAACTAATCTATTTGACAATATATTACAATTTGAAAACACTGCAAATTTAAGTGGTTGCATGATGATATTTGTGTGGGGGGTTAATTATGCTAATGTATCAAGAACAGTTCCTCTGTTTTTCCACTCAGCCCATCTGCCAGGCGGCCTATCAGAATGACTTGGGTCAAGTGTGGCGTTGGGTAAGAGAAGACAACTGCAATGTCAACATTCAAGATGGCTTCAATGGAGACACCCCCCTCATTTGTGCTTGCAGACGAGGGCACGTGAAAATTGTTTCCTTCCTCTTAAAAAGGAATGCTAATGTCAACCTCAAAAACCAGGTGAGGCTGAGTCATATGGTGGGAAGAATAATTGTCACCCTTSCTGTCTCTTCTAGTCGATGTCTTGTGAATGTAATTTTTTCATTGCTTATAGCTCCTTATTAACAATTCTTTTTTGCCTTACTTTAGACAGACTGACACATACCAAGGACATTTTATTCAGCTAAAAAGCAAAATAAAATGTAGCTCAACCAGCAAGTATATTTTGTGATTAATTATGCCTTTGTACTTCTGAAGAGAAAGAGAATGGCTCACTCAGTTGTCTGGAGAGGGCTTTTTCCTTTCTTCTTCTCTTCTTCCCCATCCTCCATTTCCCCTCCCCGTCTTTTCTCTTTTCTCCTCTTGTTCACTCTTATAGAAGTAATTGAAAAATTTTTTGGAAAAGAAATATTTATTTTGTGATGTTATTTTATTAGTTAGATTATTACCTACTATGTTAATGCCCTGTTCTCCAAAAGACACTATAGTGTTCTTATAGAATGAAAGAATACTATTGAGAAATTTGCTAAGGAGAATAAGCTCATGAAGTGACTTGAAGCTACTTGAGATCACACAGAAAATGTGCTTAGCTCCAATGCTAGCTACCTTGGGGTCTTCAGGACCAAGGAAGAGCAGCATGTGTGTTTTACTGTCAGGATCCTTTTAGAACTTCTTCTGAACATCTAGCATCATCGTGTACTAAAGGCAACATCTAAATTAGACTAAATAAATATCTACAGTCATTTTTTGCAATAATTATCAATGTCCTGAATCATCTCATGTGCATTCAATGAGAAAAGCAGCTTGTAGGGACCCACTTGCCCCTTCCATATCAATTTAAAAGCTAGCTTATTGGGAGAAAGTAACAATGTGTTATCAGAAAATTGATCAGTACAAGAGTTTCTTACTTGTGTTTACCATTTTTTCTTTTCTTTTTTCTTTTTTTGGCTTGGGTGTTCTTTTTAATTTTTAATTTTTCTTTCTTTTTTTTTAGGTTCTGGGTATCCAATGCAGGGCTAGGCAAGTGCTCTAAGATGGAGTTACACTTCCAGTTCTGGGCTAGTTTAAAAGCAAGTCATGACTATGCTCTGTCTGATAGGCAGCTTAGTACAGTGTGGGACAGGATGTCCCTAGAACACAGTTGAAGGACCAGGTATATAAAACTGTTTTGAGCAGTTCCACCCAAAGTCAGATTCTGTGAGTTTCTGTCCTCTTTCAAGAAGTGTGCTCACGGGGAAGCTGAGGGAGGGAGATATGTGACAGCTCAGGGTGGGCTGAGGGAGCACCCTTACCTCTGCTCTGTAAAGAAGAACCTCAGCCAGCCTGCTGGGGTCTGCTGGTATCATAAGTATGAAAAGAACTTCATGGCATAGTTTAAACTAATAGACATTTTATCAGAAGAGTTTTGGTTTGTAATTTCTACTTTTTAAAATGTTTCTAATGGTGTTTTAGTGTTTAATATTTTTTATTTTCCCCAAATATTTAGTCTTTGTACATTAATAATTTAAACCAGTACTTTTACATTTCTTAAATCTGTTGATAAATTATTTTCAGAAGTACTAAACAAAGATCTTAGTGATTGAGAAGCAGATGCCTATAGAAAACATTGGTTCTATGGAAAACAGATTGAATTAAATTAAAACATAATGATACTTTTTTTGGTCTGCAAATTAATCAGGATTTAAAAAGAAAATCAAATGTTGACCAGGGAGAAAGTTTAAATTATTATTATCTTACTGGAACACAATTTGGCAGTACACAATACCTTTCATGCTAAGGAGTCATTGGAAACTTATGCAAAAGATGAATTAGAATTGTTGACAAAGATTTGTGAATGAGGATATCCAGGCAATGTTATTTATAAAAATAAGAGATTAAAAAACTTGAAATGTCCGATAGATAGAGGGTTTGCCTAAGTCAATTAAAAAAGCTCCATTCAGTAGGAAGCCATGCAGTCCTTAGCTCCTCTTCCAATAGGGGATTAATATCTAAGATATATAAAGAACTCAAATAGCTAAACACCAAACAAACAAATTAAAAACAAACAAACAAACAAAAAGCAAAATAAACACCCTAATAACCCAATAGATAAATGGGCAAAAGATATAAATAGAGGAAATACAAATGGTCAACAAATATATAAAAATATATTTATAAAAATATGTATATAAAATATATACAAATATATAAAAACATGTTCAGCATTCTTTGCAATCAAAGAAATGCAAATCAAAACTGCATTGCTATTTCATCTCACTCCTATTGGAACGGCATTCATCAAGAATACAAATAACAATTGCTGGTGAGGATACAGGGGAAAGGTACTCTCAGCCATTGTTGGTGGGACTATAAATTAGTATAACCATTTTGGAAAGCAGTATGAAGATTCCTCAAAAGATTAGGAATATTACCACTACAGGACCCAACTATCCCATTCCTCAGTAGTTATCCAAAAGAACTCAAATCAGCATACTATAGTGATACAGATACATCAATGTTTACAGCAGAGCAATTCACAGTACCAAATTATGGAATCAGGCTAGGTACCCATCAATAGATGAGTGGATAAATAAAATGYGATCTATATAATGGAGTTCTAACTAAGAATGAAATTGTATCATTTGATGGCACTGGAGAGTCTCATGTTAAGTGAAATATGCCAGACTCAGAAATAAACCAGACTTAAAGGCTGAATGTTTTCTCTGATGTGAAAGTTAGATGGGGGGAAAAAAGACAAAAAATGGGGGGGGGATCTTGTGAAAATAGAAGGGAGATCAGTAGAGCAGAGGTTGCAGGCCAAGGAGGATGGAGGAGAAGAGGGCAAAGGAAAGAACTGGGGAATGAGGTTGAACTAATTATGCTGTGTGCATATATGAATATATCCCAATGAATTCCACTTTTATCTATGACTATAACACACCAATAAAAAAATAAATATGTAGAAGGAAGACCAATAGAGTAGAGGCAAGAGATCGGAGGAAGGGAGGAAGAGAGGAAATGAGGAAGTATTGTGGATTGAAATGGAGTAAATAATATCTTATGAATTTATAAATCTGTCAAAATGAGCTCCACTAATATATCTACATATGACATGCTAATAAAAACCTAAGCAGCCAGGCAATCCTTGCAAACATGTACTTAAAAATATTAATGGGCATGGAAAATGTACATATTCTTAATGTGCATCTCTAAACTGGAAAGAAGCAAGATATGATTTTGAATATGCAATATGATTCTATGTTTTAAAATTCTATGTGTATGGAATTGACAATGACCTTGAGAGAATATAGCATAATGTCAAGAATTAACTCTGTACTACTTGATAATGGATAATTCTGAATTGTATCATTCTAACCTTCTCTACTCTCCAGAATGTTTACAGGTAGCATGTATACCTTAATAATTAGGAAAACAAGAGTTTTTATTTAAGAATAGAGCTACCTCCAAGTAGAAACTCACTTCTCTTTTCTCTCTTACATTCCCTTTCCTTTTATTGATTTGAATAGTGTTCCAATTATACCATAGCTTTTTCGCATTATACTTACTTGCACATCTTTCTGGCCACCTTTGATTATGAGCTCCTGAGAGTTCACRTTCTATATACCACCCCTCAAAGCTTAAGTCCACCACCTGATGAATCTTGATATATTMAAATAATTAAGGTATGTGCATTCTTGTACCACTGTCTGTGTTCATGAGGGAACACGGAAAAATTTAAATGAGGTTAAGATTTTCCTGTAAACATATCATTAAATGAACAATTGTCCACCATAGTTGATTAAGGATAACTATTGCATTACATACTAAGTTCAGTGCTATATTTGTATCTCAATATATTTGTCCCTCAAAAACTAAAATTAATGTGAAAATCTAGACTTCAATGATTTCTAAAACGCATCTTCACCTCTGTTGATTGTTGTTGATCTTTGTCTTTCCTTTAGATTGGACTGTTCAATATTCTGGTCAGTGGAAATCCAAGTTTGTTAATCAGACAAGCCCTACAGAAAGAAATACCCTGAGTACCATAAAAATATAAAGCATGAACTTTTTGATGTAGTAATATGCAAATATGAAAAGTGAAATGAAGAGTTCTTTTCTTAATTGTAGAAAGAGAGAACCTGTTTGCATTATGCTGTGAAGAAAAGATTTACCTTCTTTGATTATCTGCTCATTGTCCTCTTGATGCCTGTCCTGCTTATTGGGTATTTTCTCATGGTGAGTACACTTATTAGGGTACAGGAAAAATGACTAGGAGAACTATGCATGATATGCAAGTTTTGCTAGGCCAGTAAGATATTGTAAAGAAATAATAACAAAATAAGCTATTGGTTTGTACATGTGCTCCTTGACGTTTGATGATGTTACATCCCAATAAACCTCTCAAAGATAAAAACATTATAAGCAGAAAATACATTTAATATACCTCACCTACCAAATATCACATTTTAACCACACCGTACTCTGTAGAGTACGGGTCCTTGGACCCCTGTGACCGTGTGGCTGAGTGGCGGCTGTACCTTGCTGTTACTGCTCAGCATCATCAGAGGGCATCATGTGCATATCACCAGCCCAGGAAAAGATCAAGATTCAGAATTCAAAGTGTGGTTTCCTCTGAATGCCCATCATAAAGTTGAAAAATCCTAAGTTGAACCACTGTGAGTTTTGTAGAATACCAAGCGTATTCTACGAAAACCATTTCCAATATTCATGCAATGCTGACTATGTAAAGTGAGAGAAGGTAGCAAAAACAGTAGACCAATGGTAAAATAGTCTGTGAAAGATTTATCTATAAAAATAATTTAATCTTGACTTAGTTTTATTTTTTATYTGAAGGAACTACAAAATTCTGAAAATTTAGGAAAAAAATCCTATTCCTGCTACTCTCTTTCTCTCTCAGTGGAATTTATATTTTTGCACATCTCTTTATTAATTACTGACATTTAAGGACCCATCCTGGTGATGAGATAGAAAACAGATCCTAAGGGATTTGCACCAGGGAGCCGACAAACACAGAAGATATTTATGGGGAATTTGAAGCCCATCTTTCACCTTGATATATTGAATCATGTTTAAATGGGAATATATAGTTGGTGTAGGAATGTATTCATATTATGAGAAGAAGATGGAGTTTAAGGGTTTTTGTTTTACCTTCAAATATGGTGACAGCTGTGCACTGATTCTCCACCCCCAAACCCCACCCCTGCTTCTCTTGTAGCCAGTTCCCCCTTTGAGAGCTGACTCAAAAGATACATCATTTATTCCAATTAAATAACCACCTTTCCCCCCTTTCTGTAGCTAATTGATGTCAAACCTCAGTTTTCCCTTTTAAAAAAAGTTCCACTATAAATTCAGTCAGTTGAAAGTGTTATTATCTCTTTAGGTATTGAATGTTGCAGAATTTGAGGAACTGTAGTTAAATACAAAAATGTTGGTTTTGATCTTTTAATTTATGGGAGAGGGAAAATTTTAATTCACTAATAAATTATCTGCTTATATCCTTAAAAATATTTTGAGAATTCACTGTGTATTCAGCACACATCATTGGAATATTTGTCATTTGGGGTCAGGAGTAATTTGTTGACTTTTTCAGAGGTTCTGAAGAAAAACATCACAACTACGGGCAAGGCCCATTTGGAATTTGTTGACACATAGCTCTGCTTTTTAAGATGGTCCAATGTTTAGAAGCTGGAGAGGCCTAAGCAAAAATATAGATTGCAACMAACAGCCTGGCTTCAATTGCACACATGCACTATTTATTAATGGAGCCTGACATTGTCAATTTGTGATGCTTAAGGAATAAGTGATGTGAGAGGCAAGTATAGGGGAAAGGATCAGAAAGGATCGAGTCACTTCAAAGAAAGGTAGGAGAAAAAAAGGCAGTTGAGCAGGTGACACAGGAAGGAAGAAGGAGAAGAGAAGACAACAGGATRTAGCTCCAGATGACAAAGGGCTGATGCCTTATGTGTAGAGAGAGCTCTGCTTTCTCAGGTGAACCTCTGTAGTGGGAAGGCTCTGTCAGGTGGTCAGAACCTTGAGGGACCAAAAAGGAAAAGTGAGTTTCTGAGGAACTTTGTTGGTTTCACTCATTGGTTCTATCATTCAACCTGTATTTTCATGGATCTGTTCTGAACCAGACACTGTACAAGGATTAGTGATACCATGATGAACTAAACAGACATAGCTGTTGACCTCGTGAGCATTAGAGGATGGTGGGGAGTSATGAATCAAATGACAAACACAAGAGAAATCGCCATGAAACAGGTGATACAGAGAAGTGATGGGTGTCGAGGGCCTAGAAGAAAAGGATTTCTTCATCTGATCAGTTAAGTCCAGGAAGTCTGACACTGGGAAGCAGCAAGGAAAATAGAGGCTCTAAGTTCCTGGAGGAAGAGGAACATGGGCTGAGATATGAAGGATGAATTTGCAAAGCAAAAAACGGGAGGTAGGAAGCTTCCAGGTAGAAGGAACATCTGTGCAATAATGCCGGAGGGAGCCTGGTGGGAATGGAAGACTTAACAACAAGCTAGTGTAGCTAACACAGGGTGATCCAGGAGGTATCTCCTGTGAGAGAGGATTAGAGCAGCAAGCCCTAGAGGGATCATGTTGAATAGCTTAGATTTGTCTTCAGAACGATGAGAAGTTACGAAGAGCTATGAATCAGGAAGGAAAATATAGAAAACTGATCCCATCCTCAGCAGGAGATAGTAGGTCTGGGTGAGGGTTGAGAATGTGCATTTCAAACAAGTGCCTGGGTGCTGAGATTGCCCTTCCAAGAGCACAACCTGATATGTCTTCAAGGATTTTAAGATGAGAGATGTTTAGGAGTGTTGAGATTCAGATGAAGCCAATTGATTACAATAGTCTCAGACACAAGATGAAGAAAATGTTTGTCAAACCACTTCTCTTGCACTTACTGTTACAACAGGTATCAAAGACAAAGCAGAATGAGGTTCTTGTGCGAATGCTCCTTAATGCTGGCGTCCAAGTTGATGCTAAAGACTGTGTAAGTTTATATTTTTAGCCATTCCAAAATAATGTTCATTTAGTTTTCTTTTTACTCACTGCCAGTCATGCAACTTTGAGGTTATTTATATTCTTCCACTAAACTCATGAGTGCAGAATCTTTACTGATTGCAGAACATCTTTAAAAGAACTGGTTTTGACATTGGTAAGAAATAAAGATAAGGAAGACTTTGATAACACCAGCAACCTCAGTGCTTAAGCGGGAGTCAGAATGCCACTGTGTGAATAGGCCTGCCACTTTTTTACTTAGGTGGGTGGCCAATTATAAATTTATTACCTAGTAAGTGCTCACTGCTTGTTAACAGCTGCTTCTTCAGCCAAGAGCCTTTAAGAGAGGCYTCTTTTATAAATTAAAGTTCAAGAAGGGCAAAGATCAAAGAAAATCCAAGTGATGTTATGAGCTGCAATAACATTTGTCTCTAGCAGCATCCGCTGACTTCTTCCCATAAGGATGTGTAAGGTTTTGTTTTGACTTTTTATCYTTGCACCTCTGTACTCACCTTCCTCCCTTAAATGCTAATAGTGGATCAAACATTTTTTTTGTATGGTGTTTTATTTGCTTAAATTAATTGGATAAAATTTTAGGGTTTTTAGTGTTATATTAAGAAAAGCAAGTATTTTATATTTTTAGCTAATTAGACTCACTTTATTTCACATGGAAAATTCCAGAGTCCTTCTTCTATTCATCATGCCATCACTTGATAAAAATAAATGATTGTAACATAATTTCCTATAATCTTAGAAGAATTTCCAGGGAATAAGGTCCAGAATTAATTCTATTGGTTTTAACAGTTGAGGATATTGTTTTCTCTTACCAAAACTATGGTTTCTTGGCTACTTTTTGAAAGACAAATTTTGAACACAAATTCCCCCATTATAAAATATTTTTAACTTGTGATTTGTGTTTTAAATTGGTACCAACAGAGTATGACTGCTAATTTATAGTACAAAATATGAACTATAGCAAACTAAGTGTGGACTTGTACATCAGACTTCTAGGATCTTATACACATTCTGTAGTGATATGAGCAGCTACCTTCTTCTGACTGAGGATTTTGATTGAAAACCATAAAGGATAGTATTTACARGAAAGTCCATGGGGTAACTCTCTAAGGGAAAAGATGGTAAAATTATCAGGGTAGTGCTTGCCCAGGTATATGAAATTCCACAAAGAAATGTTGGTATAATTAAGCATCATATGTTATTATAAATATATCTTATGTTATCATAGTTACATTCTATAATTTGTAATGGAAAATGAGGAGGGAAGATATCGATGGCATATAGGATACTCATGTACATCTGGAGGGAGAGGAGAAAAACTTTTCAGTACAAGATGGTTTGCAAGCTGTTCTGCTTAGTCGCACATTACCAAATGTGAATAGTTGCTAAAGAAACAGGTGCTGAAGTTTGTGGAAAGCCTGGTTGATGGGCTGTGATGTTGGCCCTTTGTGTTTCAGTATGGCTGCACTGCATTACATTATGCCTGCAAAATGAAAAACCAGACTCTCATCCCACTSCTCCTGGAAGCCGGTGCAAACCCCATGATAAAGGACAAGGTAAGGATCTGCAAACCTGAGTCTGAAGTTCCCCCTAGCAGCATAATCTTCTAGTCCAGGTCTTGTGTTGAAGGAAATCAACCTMCTTTCATGTGAATAATGCCAAAATTAACCATTCTAAGGAAGAAAGAAGCTAGGCCACTCCTTTTAAAACTGAACGACCTTTAAAGGCCTTGCCAAGCCTGAGGCTCAGTCTAATCTGTTTACATTTGCATYGACATTTTATTCTATTGGAAATAAATAACTGAAGTTTCTTTTTCTCCTCAGAATGGTGAGAGCTCACTGGATATTGCACAGAGATTAAAATTTTCCCAGATTGAATTCATGCTAAGGAAAGCATTATAATCCTGTGACCTCAGAGATGGAGATACCAACAACATTAAAGGACTGCGTTCTGTCTCCATCTTGGACTACTGGTCGGTGCCATTCCACCTGGGTACCTTGACTTAATGGGACAGCRATGGCTGCCATAGTTAATGTTTCTGAAGAGCCTTTCATTTATAATATTTTTTACTCAGCAGAGTATACCATGGCCACCATTCTTCTAGGGAAAACATTAAAGTTGTTGGTGTCTCCAATTTTGCCCAAAACTGATATTTCAAACTCAGTTTCTCCTGAGGAAGATCATCAGTGTTATCTGAGGTAGAGTCCTCTCCTCCCAGTCATGTCAGGCTTGTGAAGAGTCTATCCTGTCTATCTCATGCACTAAGAGACAAATTGTTCCTCTCAGGGTCCTTTAACTACCAAGAGGAAGAATCAAAGTCTGTACATTTGTATAGAACTATGTAAATGTGTGTGTGTGTGKCGGGGCAGTTTAGAGAGTCCAGTGTAAACATTCCTTGGATCAAAACAACTTCAATAAAAACACCTCTCAGTTGTCAGTGGTGGGTGTGTTTATACCTCAGATTAGCAAATGCTACAAAGCAGAGCTTCTTCCTCCCTGCCCTCCAGTACTGGTTTACCAGCATACCACTAGACATTTTGGTTTCAGTTTACAAACAAAAATTATCTTTGTTTGAATARTACGTGGAACTCTTAAAATGTCTGTTCAGAAATATCTTTCTGGGGCAAGGGGAGTTCAGTGGAAAAGTGTATGCTTAGCATGCATGAAGACCTGGTTTTGATCCCTAGTACCAAAAAAATAAACTAAAAATAAAATAAAATCCTCATGTAAATGTAAGTTGATTACTAAGCTCATTAGTATCTATKTGTTTATTTATTTACTCATTCATTCATTCATTCATTCGGTATTGGGGAATGAACTCAGGAGGACTTGACCACTGAGCCACATCCCCAGCCCTATTTTGTATTTTATTTAGAGACAGAGTCTCACTGAGTTGCTTAGTACCTCGCTTTTGCTGGGACTAGCTTTGAAACTGAGATCCTCCTGCCKCAGTCTCCAGAACTGCTGGGATTATAGGCATGCACCACTGCACCTGGCAKTTTTATTTATTTTATATTTTCATCGTGCTGGGGATTGAACCCAAGGTCTAAGCATGCCCACTGCTGCACCCTCAGCTCCAGTTTGGCTCATTTTATTGATAAAATTTTAAATGTTGATGGAACTTATGCAGATGAAGAAATTTTTCACAAAAAAAATAGAAAGACATAATGAGATGGTATCTGGATTGTATTTTTAAGTGAGATACTATGAATATCAAATATCTATTTTATTTCCTTTGTGAATAAGACAGAGTAGAAATAAATACACTTTTAAAATATGTCTGACTTAGGTATTATGGGGCAACCAGCACCCTGCCAGGGTAGCTTCCTGCTCCTGAGAACTAGAAAGTCTGAAATAATTAGTAAGAAATAGAGCCAGAGCCAGAAATTAGGTAGATTGGGGCASCTGATAGGTCTTCCAGTCCTGATAGGAGCTGGAACTGAACAAAAAATGGTCCCTATTCTTTATAAAAGGGGGAGTACATCAGAGGCAGGGGTAAGATTTCAGCAGGAGGAGTCTTGCTTCTCAGTGTGTCAGGGGTCTTGCAATAAACAGGTTGATTGGYATTTTGTTAAGCCACACCCATTTTCAAGAGGTTGTGTGGTTCCAGTGGGTCATCCATCTCCAAGGCWGTGCTGAACTTGTGATGGAGCTGGATAGGAAGCCACATGAACCAAACATTCTCAAACCAGCAGGGTTGCCTCTGGGAGTTCCTGATTCCAGGCTTTCCTGCCTAATGACTTCCACATCACTTTAGTTCATGCACAGTTCACAGATGGCTCTCGGCACTTAGGTCTAGCTGTAGACATGGACTAAACCATACTATATTTGGTAACAAGTTAGTCTAAGGATGAAAGATTTATTATCCTTGAACAGAACAAAAGGTATAATAAAAAATCAAATGCAAGAAATATTTATTGAACTATGTACAGGCCCTGAGGGAAGTAGTAGTGTAGACATGATTATGAAGAATTTAAGTGTGTTTACATTACATAAATTATTCAAGATTCTTAGCATTGAACGGAGTTACCAGGTGAGTCTGGGGATGATAAAAATGTAAATTTCACACAGCAGTACACTTTAAAAATTATACCTTCATCACACACCAATGTACTTTCAACAGTATACCACTGACGTACACAGTATATTTTTGATAGGTTTCAGAGGAGATTTTTCAAAACAGCACTCTTTGAAACTGTGAAAATTGAACAGTTTTCTAAAGAAACAAATCTACATTAGAATGAGTTGGAGAGACTAACAGTGACTTTCTCATGATCAAAATATAAGATACTGAACAATTTATTTCATTATGCGCATGACAGTAAAACATTTTCTTCCTTTCTTAATTATTGGAGGTAGAAAATTGGGCCAGTAGGTCTCCTAGCAACAGTCTATAAACCCTCAAACAGGCATAAACTAGAATTGAGGGGCTGATATACACATATGTGCTATACACGAGCATTATGCATTTATTGGAAAACTCATAAATATCCTCCAGAATTATCTAATTATCTTCTTTAAGATACAACTATAAAGTATGGCCCTATTCTGAGGATGTTTAATATATTTTAATCACACTGTACCTTGATTTTTTTTGTTGTTGTTAAAGCATTCTGGCTTTCTTAGGTAGTACCCTGTCTATAGTAACAAACTGCAAATGTTATCTTATTTTGTCAAAGTTAACAATAATTCAGAGATTTGTGACCTCAATGTCTGTCCCAATTTGTCATTTTACTTTACTGCTTCAAAAATATGACTTACAGAAAAAAAATAAATGTTATAAGGAGGTTTCCCTGAATGATGTGGGGAATATAGAGATACTTTTTGGTTGTCAGGAACAACCTACTCTTCAAGATGGTAGAAAACCTAATAGCACAGAAAACCTGAAATTACCAAGTTAGTTTAGTTTAACTAATCAGAAAAAAAATTAAGTAATGGTTTTAGTGCCAAATGCAAAGATGTCAAAGAATGTACACTGTATCTCTACCTTCTCTTCTACCTTTTCTGGAAATTCCCCTTAAAATTCTCTACTCCTGGCCCTAACCCCATAAGATTGTCCCCAAAACTTGCCAATATCAGAGGCTTTACAGTTTGACCTTGCAGGTTCCCTGGGAAAGGTTGGTCTCCTCCTGCTTCATCAGATGTATGATCTCATTGTACATACGGTGAGGAGCATCCAGCCCCCAAATGAAATCCACATGAGCCCATTCAGGAATGTTCTTGTGGTAGATGAGGTTGGTCACTTCAGAGAGCAGTGTCTTCACATCTTCTGGATTTGAAAGCCAGTCCTGACCTCCCGTCCACATCGCTGTCGGGACTGTCATATCTCGAACTTTATATTTCACAGGTGTTGGCTAGAGAGGAAGAAGAGTTTTAACTTGAAATAGTTTTAACTTGAAGTATCTGAACTTCCAAGCTCATAATTTATATTTCAAATAAACAATATGACAATAAACATGGCATGTATTGTGGTGAAAGATGCATGGGCTTTAGARCCATCAGAATTCCAGTAAGAGTTTCTAGCTGGGGAGGTAGTTCAGTGGTAGAGCACTTGCCTAGCAGGCACAAGGGCCTGGGTCCACCCCCCAGTACATAAACAAACAAACAAACAAATAAATAAAAATTTTGTTCCAGCTCCTTACTTTAAGGTGAAATTACCTAATATCATTAAACCTGTTTCTTCATCTATGAAATGGGGATAATTACAAGATCAAGTGAGAAAACATTACCTTCAGTTTGTGGGTGATTGTGGTGCTGAGAGTGGTTCCTTAAGAATTTGGAGTCATAGACTAATTTAGATATAAAAGGTTGGAATATTCTATGGAGTCAGTCATATTTTTTTCTCAGGACCTGGTGTATGCCCTGCACACATTCTATCACTGAGCAACATCACCATCCCCTACACCTTATGGATTAGACATTGAATAACGTTTAATGATTTCCTAGTAAATATATTACAGATAAATTACATTTTAAAATAATGTCCCTATTAGTGTTTAAAGATAATTTCACAGATGCTTCAGCAGGCAAGAATTAAAAATATTCTACATAGAAAGGCAAGAAATCCTACTGGGAAGGCCTCTGGATCCTCACAGAAACTAAATGATCACAAGCATCCCTTGCACAGGCCCAGCTTGACTGTACCTCCAAACACTTAGGGAAATCACAAATTGGCCTCTGGCACTCAGGTAATTTGATCAGGTCAAGTTAAATGCCTGTTCTAACCCCAATTCCATATTCTGCTCAAATTATCCAAAGAAGGGTTATAATCTTCCTATTTCCTGGGAATTTCAAGCTGAGCTAGTAAATATGCTTGGCAGTCTGAGACCTTGAGATTAACTGGCATCCAGAATTTTCCATAGAATTGGCTCATTTCTTATCACAAAATTTACCATGGTATCCCAGCTCCAAATTTAGACATCCTTCTTTGTCCTCGTGGTTCCTTAAGAATTTGGAATCATAGACTAATTTAGATATAAAAGGTTGGAATATTCTATGGAGTCAGTCATATTTTTTTCTCATCTTACATGGGAAGAGATTGAACTAAATGTCCTGTCTAGGTCCGTGTTACCCTGATTCTATGAGCCCATTCTATGTGTTTTATTTCCTTTCCCTTCCACTACCATTTTCTGGTGTCTAGTCTGCRTGAATCTCTTCCTCTAGGACTCAGTCCACTAAATGTTGACAAATTAAAACTATCTCAGAACAGTAACTCTTTCTCTAAAGACATATTTTTTTAGGTAACAAGTAAAGAAGGATCTAAAAAGAAGTAGTTGATAGCTGACTGAGAGTTTGCTATCCAGGGATAACTGTATAATCTGTTCAGTTTCCTAGCATTTTCTGTCTAGATGGATGTACAGAATGGATGTTAAGTAGGATGTGAGCTTCTCAGAGGAAGATG